TATTGTAAAATGGAAACAGTATTGTAAAAACAAGAATAGAAAACTTAATAAATTTAGCCTACTTTTACAGAAAAAGTTAATATGATAACCATATTTTCATATTTAAAAAATATATATAATACTCGGGGAACAAGTAATGACGTTGACAGTCATCACAATATATAGACGCCCTTTATATATATTAGGGATTATTTGCAGTAACACGATAATGGTTTGATATTATCGAAGATAACCATTTTGAAAATTAAATATTTTTGTAATACCTTTATCATAAACTAATTAAAATCAGTATTTACTGCGACATAATAATTAATCTAAAAAGCGAGAGTGTTTCCTGCAAAAGGCTTAAACAAGTTTTTCTCACTTTTGAACATTAGTAAAATGAAGTATCCTAGTAAGCGCATAACGGTATAACACTAAAGTAATTACAAATTGTTGTAAAACACCCAGCTGCTGATGTATATTGTTTTATGCTTATAATTATAATTATATAAAAAAAAGATGATTGATGAAAAAAAGATAAGCATATACGGGGATGATTCTTTTTACTTTATTACATACAATTTAAATTTAATATTAAATGTTTAAAGGATACAACTGCATGTCTTATTATGGTATTCTCCGGGGGCTAATGATACATTCAAATGCACCATGGTACCGATGGATTTATCAAATATACTCCCAAAATTCTTCGTCTGAAATTAAAAATATGTATTTATATGACATAAAAGAAAAAATCTGTTTTGCTTTTTAATACAACTTTTAATATGTTCTATTTGTTAAAGAGTTTTAATATTGAAAAACTTTCTTTTTTTTATTTGGCTCCATAATGTATAATTTAATATATTTAAGTACATTGGTAAATTATGTGGTATCGGCATTAAATACATTTAATTTTAATTTTTTTTTATTAAATTTAAAAAATATATTAAATTATTTGATAAACTATGGATAGCTTGAAAAAAATATATAATGTATATTATAATAAGTACCAAGCTATTGAACATTTTTCCCCTTTCATTTTTTACACGACTCCTTTGTGGGTACATTTTGATTTTACTGAATTTATTTATTCCATTTTTTCGTATTTTCCTAAATTGTTATCTTTTCTCTTTTTATTAGTTATCAATGTTTTTATTTATCGAAAATAATATTATTTGAAAAGGATGGATAAAAATAAAGTATGTAAACCGGCGCTGAAAATCTTGGCCTTTATACTTTTTTAAGTTTTTAAACTACATGAGTTGAAAAATGTATTTATCTTATTGTTATAAAATTAATATTCATAGAAGAAACTGTTTAGAGTTTCATGATTGAGAACTGAAGTGGAAATAATATTTTATACATGAAATAATAAATTCAGCAGAACGTATATAAAGTGTTTTGATACATGGTCACTATGTTGGAATAATATTAGGTCAGACACAATGATTCTACTGCCTTAATTACTAATAATCGATAGGAGAAACCTAATAAAATAATTGGTATGATTTTGGTTTAATGGAGTATTTGTGTGTAGAGTCCTTAATCCACGGAGTAATAAATTCACTGCAATGTGTATCGTATATGCTACAATTAATTATAATTTGCTATTCAAATGTTCGCAATCAGTACCGTTCAGATTGAAATACTCCTATGCCTCTAATCACTGTAACTAAATCAACTCGATGGGATGTGTACGTTTATAATATAAAAAGAAAAATTTTTAAAAAAAACCCCCCTAAACGAATCAATAAAATGAGTTAAACATGGTACCACGTTGGTCACTTTATAAATAAGGAATAAACAAAAACTTATTCTCTGTGAGAAGTGAATTCGATTGGACGTGAACTTTTCTAGAGCCTCATTAGGAATTGCTGATAAAACACAAATCATTATTCGGCAAGGCTGTGTAGTTTGAATGCGTTCCCGAATATTAAGAATAATATCAGACCCCATTTAAAAGGATAAACCGCAACGACTACATGAAAACAGATTGTTAATCGTATATAATAATTATTAAATTTGGCTATATCCCAACAGAAATCCTAAACGCGGGAAAATATAGTAAACGTATAGGTATCTATAATGTGCAAACAATTATTATTGTGTGTGAACATAGAGTTCAAAAGTTGCTGCAATAAATTTGAAAATAATGTACGAATTACAGCTTTTTAGGGTATGGCCGTTTACCGTAAAATTTGACCCTTCCGTTACATAAAGCAATAATAATATTATAGATTTCCGTCTTCTATCAAAAACAAAAATTTGCATGACTATCATTTTTTTTAATAAAATATATTTATCAGATCTACATTATAATAATATTTTTTCTTATATAAAACTCATTGTTTCTCAACTAAATTAAGGACATGTTAAATATAATTAAAACAATATAGTTATGGTAGATAAATGATCTGCGCAATAATAAAATAAAGCAAATAAGTTCATGAGTTTTTTGTTCTATTTTCAAACATGTTACCAGCATAAATATACGAAAGGAAGCTTTTACGTTCGATGACTTACACTCGATGTCGTCGTTTTGAAAGTCTCATTACGAATGCCAACGCCTCTTATACTTTAGTAGATTTCCGTCAACATTTCATATTTATTATTTATAGAGTGACCGAGAAGGAGTTTGTAGTGTCATATTATGGTGGTCTATAACATAATTGTTACTATTCTTGGAACAAGTGACGACGTTTAGTTCTCGAGCGACTTTTTGTACAGCTTTGAACACAATATTTTTTTTTATGTTCGGAACGGTTTTTAGAGTCAATTTACTTTGAAAGTTTACATCTATAAAAAACTTGAGAGATTTTTTAAAAATCGTGTTTATCGCAGTATGATTGCATTTTTTTTTCAACGAATTACCGATGCGTTCAACATTTATTGAAATTAAATGTATACGTCTTGCAAGTTATTGTAACGTTTCAATAAATGATACATAAAAATAAAAATAAAACTTCTATATTTTTAATATAACGTTCAGTCGTGTCACATTTGACCCTATATTGTTATGCGCGTTGACAGTTGCTAATATTATTCTATATTTTATACACACACATATATATATATATTGTTCGCGTTGTATTCGTATTCAGCACCACTTGAAACGCCATCATCGATTTTTTTTTTTTTTTTCATCGCGTCGAAACGGAGTAGACGGATCGGCGGAGGTACGTTTTGAATTTTCACGGAGTCGAGTTTAAAGACACTGGCGGTGCCAAAAATGTCGAAAGTGTCGGATAAATGACACAGACGACGACGTGAACGAAACCGCACCGTTTAAACGTTATCAATGGTGCGCGCGACAGGGTTTTGCAGAAGCGATCCGTGGCGGATATCGTTTCAAATCTGCAGGAAACAATATTGAATCGCTCTCGCACAATGTGACGTACCTATACACATATTATTTGAATGCCATTGCCGATTTAATCATAACAACAACAATAATAATATTATTATGCACACCGAAGCTAATAACGTTTCCCGCAAATCGAAAGTGCCCGTTTATCTGTGCGCCAAACACCGCCATCAGCGGGGCCCCCGTCGTCGTCCGCTCCGCTCCGATCGCGTTCGCAGTCGTCGTAATCATAATATTATTATATTATTAATCTTGCGAAATTACGGTCCGATGAACGGTGGACTGTTATTATTGTTATTATTATTATTATTATTATTATCATCGTTGTTGCGACTCTCGCGACCTTTGACTGTGACCGCCGACCCCTCGCCTTTAATTTCCTCGTCGGTACAGGTATAATGCTATTAACATCGTATTTTGCTGTCGTCTTGACCGATGTGACGTTTAATTGTCGACGTTTAAATTAATGGCCGTCGTGGCGACCGTTTATATACTATACATATATCTGTAACACACTAATACGGTGTAACCGCGTGGCTTAAGTTTGTTGTGCGGGCATTATCACCTATACTACGTTTCGAACTTCAAACGACCCCCCCCCCCCTCAACCATGCCCGCCCCTCGACTTCGCACTGTTTCACAACTGTATTATTATATGCTATTGCGCTTAAAATTGTCAGTAAACGGTAGTTCGGTGGGGTCGTCGTTGCGTCAACGGCAGAATTTCAACGTATATTATATTATTATATATAAGAGTAGATCAACCGCGTATACCGACAACGTGGTTCCGGTTAAAGCTGTAATTATATGCGTATTGTTCGCGAGGAAATTCACTGTGCCGATGAAACTACGGTTTCAATGCACCATTCGCACATTATTCTCCCGAATTATAATATTTAAAGTTGCTATATTCCCGCGCGGTCGTGCGCAGGACGGTAAAATAAAAAAAAAACTGTTTAGAAACAATAGTCATTATAATATGTCCTTCGGGTCATTTGATCCTGCTATAGTTGTGTCTGCACAGTCGTAGAGTAAAAATAACTACCAATTACACCGTTTTGTGAACGTCATCGGTGTATTAATACTACTGCACGAGGGTTCAACTACATGGAATTCGACGAATTTTGATTGTTTCAATGTGATTTTATAAAATATTATTGTTCAGACGGTTGCCCACCCAAATATATATTTCCTACTAATATATTTACTACTCTATAATAAATCACTCGACATCATTTAGTCTCCAAACGATGATAACAACATTTCGGAGAAACTATAAATTCCCGACCATCATACGTGCCTTGGCATAACAATCAATATGAACTATTTAAATGAGTATACAAATAATACAAATGTTGTGTGCGTAGGTTGTATTATAAATTATAATAATAACCGAAATTAAAATAAACAAAAATTGTATAACTGATTCGTAACAATGGAAATTTTTTTTTTTCAAATTATTTCCTAATAACTTATAGTAGGTCTACATCATATTATGTACTACTCACATTATTATTATTATTATTATTGTTATTATTATTATTATTATTATTTTTATTATTATTGATTGCTTAATAACCATTGAAACTTTGAAATGGTTTTCGCGGATATAAATACATAAACTAAACATTTTTGCTATTTGATTACATTTCAGCCTACAGGAGAAAATCCTCATGTCCGATCCCGTGCATCAAATCTACTAGTTCGACAAATTATTGTACGTAACAACCGTCCATCATAAATTACAGGAATATTTATTTATGCATTCATGGTGGGAAAATATCCCTTTGTAAACTCACCTTCAGTCACTAACCTGCCTTATTTAATTAATTTATTAATGTGGTGGTAGCGAAGAAAATGGCAATGTGTTATTTTTTTTTTAATGAAAATTTTTTGTCGCACTCACTCGACATTGGTCTATTTAAGCGTATCGTATAGGTATGCTGTTTTATTAAATTTTAAAATTAAACTCATTTTTCGACGGAGCGGCATTTACTTTCTTATTATATATATATATATATCGTATATTTTTTAATTTAGTTTTATGATAGGTGTTAAACTATAAAACCATGACTACGGTGGTGGTTCCCAGACGACCAAGTTTTTTAATTATATATGCTCTGATCTACACCGTACGTCGAACTCCTTCCTTGATACTGACCGACATTTATTAACTTGACCGACCAACTCTTACACACGCCGCTAATAACGGACCTCCAAATCGCAAAAAAAAAACGATTAATAGATAACCTAACCTACTGCTGAATATCAACTTATCTCTTGGCACGAAACTCCCAAACTGCAGTTCATTAATCACTATAACTGCGCCGTGAACATTTTACACTCAAAATTGGTATGATAATTAGTTTTCAAAACGCCGACGCTGTTGTTATGTATAGCAGGTAGATATACTAATTGGAAAAAAAATTGTCAAAACGATAATTTGAAACGTTTGGCGTGGGTCGTTCGTTAACGACCGATGCATAGTTAATAAAAAAAAATTGTCTTGTTGTCAAAGGGTCATGAATAACTTAAAAAGGTGGAAATAAAATTACCACTAACACAAACTGACACGCTTTTTAAAATAATGCGAGGGGTACCATCTGGGCCAGGAATGAAATCACATCCAATATTATGTCATAAACTGTCAAAAACTTAATGCAGAGGTGCTGTGTACGCTGCACAGTAATGAACATTTATTTTACCAACTATATTATCAAGTATATTTAATGGGCGAAAGGGCCATTATGGAAAGAGATTTATGAATAACAAACAGTACGTTTATGACATGATTAAAAGTCGACTGAATTACCAAAAACTACTGGCCTTACCTAAAATGTATTTGTCCGAGTGCAAAACCGCGGCAATTGATAAAATGTAGTTATATTTCTCTTAAGCCGAATTATTAATGTCGTCAAATTATATTTTTTCCCAAAATGCACTCAACACAGTCGATTCATACTTACTATAACTTAATTAGGTACTTATTATACATACAGACCTACTGGGCTTGAAATGATAATAAAAAACATTATTAAAGCACTGGCAGCGATGTTTTCGTTAGTTTTTCTAAAATAATACCGTTACCGTGTTTTGACCAACGCAATGGAAACCGCAAAATATTATGGGCTGTGGCCACGCGATTCATTGTCAGAATGCGTGTGCTTACACACAAACGCGCACGACCTTAGAGTTAAATCGATAAAATATAATACTTACCTTACCCGAAATATGTATTTATAAGTTTAACGTCAATTGGCATCAACTTCGTCAGCGATAGTAATTAGTTTCAAATAATGAACATCTGCTCAAGTGAAATAAAAAAGCTCTGCTCGGAATGCTGTCATAGTGTGTCATCTTGAAATACTTACTGTGTACACCAATACTGAATGAAAATTTAATAACCGATGCGTGAAACGGAAGAGATACGATTGAAAAAATAAAATACCGTGAGGGCCGATATTGAGGGTTCATGAAAACTTTGAAAACAAAAAAAAAATAATAAACAATATTCGATTGTTGTTGTTGTTTTTGTTTCGTCTCCCGCAGACGTCCCAAGACGTCTGAAACAAAAGGGTGGCGGGCGATTTGTGTGTACGTCAAACTAGGTCCGAAATAAAATCGGTCAAACCCTTCTGTATTTCCTTTCGCTGCGCCATATTCACTCGTAAGTAATATAATCACGTAGTGCGCGAAAAAATAGCAACCATGATTGTAATAATTGTTGATTTTTTTTTTTTTTTTTGAGCTAATTAATTTGCTAGCTTTTTTGTGATGGTGCCGATATTACTTCCTAAATTTCGAGATAAATAATACACAAATCATCTGTTCTGGAGGGTTTCCATCACAGGATGTCTTCAGTCGTCATGTGATTCTATACCATGTTATTGATTATGAATATTGTGTTGATCGTCCTATTTCCTTATTGTGTTGGAAAATACAAATCGTACGTTTTTAAAACAAAACAAAAACCTTTTTTGTGATAAAAGTCACCCCGGATGAAACAAAAATGCCGTAATATTCCCAGGGGACATATTATTCAAGAAATAAAATGTTTTTAAATGTAAGTAAGAGAAATTATTGAAGAAAACTAAAAATAATGTGTGACATAGAATATATTGTATAAAAATATGATGCATTCCGAAACAATAAACCCCATCCATATAAAATACGAGTAAATTCCACACCATTACAGATGATTATCTGTATAAATATTTATTTTTATTAAATTACATAATAATTTACAAATACATGTTACATTTAAGTAATAATAAATAGAAAATTTAGTTTTGCCGTTTTTAGATTTTTTATACTTTAGATTTGGCCGAAGTCGTCGTGCCAGCAACCGTTTTTTGATTCGTGTTTTTTTTTTTTTTCAAGCTCGTATCTAGGTCGAAACACTTGGGTCATATACCGTTGCACGTGCGTCGTTTGTCACGGTTGTCACTGTAATCTCACCAAGCAAGGTTTTCATTAATCTCGTCTAAACCAAACCGATGTTCGGATATTCGGAACCCGAATTACTGGACAGCGACAGTGTCCATGTGACCATATTTATTCGAGCATGGGCGCACACTTGTTTGAAATTTTTGAAATTCAATTTCTTAGGGTACACACACAATCGTTTCAATACATAATATCTTTTTCCCCCGTTCAGTTCGTTGTGTCGTATAAAACAGTAACAATATTGAATTGTTTGTATTTGTGTTTGTTCAACGTTATCGTGTCGACGGTTAAAGAAAATATGTGTTCTCAGTCCGTGTGTGTGTTTATTCGCCATCGAACTTGTTTACTAAAACGTACTAGATTAACTTTTTTTTGCGTAATAGCGCAGTATTCAGCAAAAACTTTTGAATTATCTCCGAACTTCCCTCACTGATTTGTTCACTAATTCTACAAATTAAATACATTTTCATTGTGCCCGCCGTAGGTGGAATTGTTAAATGCATTTATTCGAGTTTTCATCGCGATAATAATGCTATAGCGTGGTTTTAATTCCGAGGTTATTAAATATACTAAAATACACACCCACACCAACACACATATATATTATTATCAGTCGAAAAACAGAAATATAACAAACGGCGTATAATATGTCCTTTTTGGTACACTAGTGTGATAAACATTAAACAAATTTGAATAATATTGAAATATGTTACGACCGTGTAAATATTTTTAAGCTTTCGAACTCGTTTAAAAATGTAGATTTTGTTCACAAACAAAAAATTGCAACAATATGAATTTTATTGTAATATGATGTATGAAACTCGCGATTTGAATTATTTAATCATATAATTATAATACTCGTGTGCAGCACATGCACGTAATCATTTGAATAGATGTGAGGAATTTTTCAATTTTGACTTTATAGGCTGTGTCAACAATTTACCGTCTATTTGATTGATTAAATAATCGACGTGGTTTTGTTATACTTTTTATTGACCTGATAACTTCCGTGGGGAAGAAGGTTGCATATACTCTGTCCTCGTATCTTATCGTATTACTCTGTGGTTGTGTATAGTATACCTGCATATCAGTTACCTCAACGAGTTGAGCCGCATTTTGTTTCTAATCGATGCAATGAAAAATATAGCCATTCGACACGCACGTCCAAAACTCTTTCGCAATGCTCCATCGCGAGTATACAGAAAACAAACAAACCACTTTCGTCATTTTTTCGAAATAATTTTCATCCACGTACATCAGCACATTCATTACTAGGTATTTAACACTTGCAGGCGTACGCTGTGCATAAATCGCGACGACGCATCTTTATCGTCGATCGTTTAAGTGTCTGCGCTCATTATTTAAAAAATATTTCTTTTCCAAAGGCAACGCATATTTTGAGTATCGCAACTTTCTTGAAATCCCGTACGAAATACTTTCGGGTTTTTGTTTTTGTTTTTCAAACCAACCGTGGACTGAAAAAAAACGAATAACTATTCTCGTATCGAGAAAAAAAACGTCCGTCATCGTACGTAATACGCCTATAATTCGTATTATACCAGCGTATTCGTCTCGGCCGGGCGGTATATTAGCACAATAATAAACGTGCACGTATAATATTATTTACAGACCGGCTCGAGAGTCAGTGAAAACCGTTGAACAACACGAATTGTTTTCGTTGTGGCCTCTAGAGATGGTCTCGTGTGTCTAATAATTATATTGCAGTGTTTGTTAAGCCCCAGTTTCGTTCTCGACGCTCACGCACGGCAATCGATAGTAATCCAAAGGATTCGCACAATAGACCCGGTGCATGTATATATATGATAAAATAAACAGCACTAAGTCTATATTAACGGCGGTGGTACTTTTACGCTACGACTGGCACAAAAATTAATGCCCTAGCTGGGTCCATATTTTTTACGGGCTCTTCGCATACAGGTTGAAAGCATTTTTCCGCCATCCGAACCATATCTATAACAACTATTGTTCGGGCTATCAAAAACACTCTGAAAATCGGGCGAAATTATTCACAGAAAACGAGGGTACTATATATATTATTATATGTGCCGACGAGGCTGTGCTCCTAGTTGCGTAGAATAGCGTGCCAAAAAAAAAAACATATAATAATACGTCCAATTTGCATACCATTACTTAAAATATAATCTGTCGGAGTTGCACGCCATGATCCATAAGTATATAATAGATACATTAACATTTATCCTTAGCATAGCCGCTATGTTTATTTTGTGCCCTAAGAACAGTAAACATGCA